GGGAGCAGTCGACGCTTCCTGGCAGCGCTCCGGGCCCTGTCGCTCTAATCCTTTATCTGGGCCACGGCAACTTCGATAAGACCACCTCGCGGCCACACTTACTGCAAGCGAAGTGCGTCTGGATCTGGGTGCTGCACTGACGGGAGCGGCTAGACTCCTCAGTAGGGGCGCACGCAACAGCACCGGCCTCGGGAGACAACGAACTCCTCCAAGTAGACCAACGTGCCCATGCCTTTGCAATCCTCCTTCTGCTTAGGATAGCCACCATGGCGCCTCCGATTCCGAGGCGCTGACGTCGGACAGCAGGCGGTTCTTCAGGGGGGGGGGAGGCGCTCACCTTGGCAGTCTCGCCAATGAGCATACGCTTGCTTATAGGTGCTGTTGTAGTCCTGGTTTGTGAGATCGGGTCGCCACCCACGCGGACAGTTGCAATGATCCCAAGTCCCTGCTCTGCGATGACCGTCGGCCCCCAGTCCTGGGTCGGGATCCTCAGCTAGCCCCAAGACACTCTGAGCCCCACGGGTAGACAAAGGTCGAGGAAAAACGTTGGTTTTCCTTGCGGCCTTCACTTTGGCCTGAAACATCATGGGCCCCGAAGCCCTGGAGGCCCCTGACTTCGAAGCTGGCAATCCCAACAAAAAACGAGCTCCCCGAGAGGAAAGATATCGAGCCGCAGGCATACGTGATGGTGTAGGAAGGCCAAGAAAACTGCGAGCCCCTCGCGACGAAATAGATGGAGTCCCAGTCTTGCCACCGCCAGTGAAGCGGCGCGGGCGCGGCTTCGCGTTCTTCCCCCAGTCAGCCTCCGCCGAACTTGGCAACGGCTGCGTTCTCACCAGGAGTTGGTAGTGCCCGTCGACGAGGGTCAACCAGCACTCCTTGGACGTCTCGATGTTTGCTGGGGCCGTGAACATGTGCCAGGTGTCCTTATGCTTCTTCCAGACCGCGAAGTCAGTCGACATAGCGCGGGCCGCTGCCGCGACGGCCTTCGAAGTAGCCCACGCGCCAGCCTTAGCTTGCACATCGGCCTCCTCGTTCGAGCACTTCAGCTTGAGCATCTCCGCAGCCACTGTATTGCGAAGATTCGCTTGGGACGCGCCGCCTGGCCCGATCTCGGACTCCTCCATCGGCTTTGGGCTCGCGTTGCTCCTGTAGGCGTGGTAGCCAGCGCAACAGTAGAAGCAGTCGCCTCGGCCTCCACAATCTCGCCGCTTAAAGCATGCTGCCCAAGGTGGCGCCGCAGGTGTCAGAACTACCCGTGCGAACCGAGCCGTCTTGGAGACTTGAGGTGGCCCCTCTTCCTCCTGCATCGCGGCGTCACCGTCGGCGTCGCGGGCAGGCGGCAGAGAAGCTGGCGTCGGTGATGGCGTCGCTGGTGTAGTCGTCGTCGCCGCCTCTGAAGTGGAGGTCGGACTCGGAGTACCCCATGCCGATCTCGGTGCTTTCGTAGGTGGTGGTCGGCTCTGACCTCGGCGCGGTGGAGCGAGCGAGACAAGGATGCCTGACTTAAACTCCATAACCTGGCCACTGACCAACGCATCCAGATCACCTCTGAGAAACCACTTGCGAGTTCCACAACGAGTGATACCTAAAACATGCTTGAAAACACGATCGAGGGCCCAAGCATGAGCATGTTCTGTCTGAGTCCACGTGGTCGGAGTCTTCCGGAGAATCCAGCGCGGCTGGATGGCGGCTGCGACGACGGTAGCGGAGAGAACTCCCAATGCGCTGTTGTCGCTCGGCCTGCACGCCAGCCTCCCAGTAGCTGCTGCGGCCACCCCAGCGACGCGCTCGAAGTAGGCGCGCGAGTCCTCGTTCCCGCGAGGGCGATGCCACACGGGAACCAGCGTAGACCCCTGCTGGTTGAGGAAAACTTCCGTGGGTAAGGTGAAAGAGAGTAGGTCCTGGGCGTGAGCGGCACTGACGATGAGGATGGCTGTAACCTCGCCCTCGTACGCCACCGCGCCCTCCGCCTTGAGCACATGCTTGGTGAGACCCGCGTTGAGCACCAACGTCGATCGAGACGGGCTTCTCGTTCGCATGCTGGAACAGCCAGTCCTCCGCGAACCCACGCGCGATCGCGAGGCGAAAGCTGGCGGGCTTGCCCGCGGTAGTGGTAATCGGCACGTCGTCCTTGACGCCACGAGGTAACCCAGCGCGCTGAGGAGGAGCCTGCCCAGCTTGCAAAACTTGGGCCGAGACCTGGAGCGCGCCGCCGTTGTTCCCCTCAACGGTAGCTTTTCTTCCTGCTCCTGCCAGCCCTCGATGATGTTCTTCTCATTGAAGATGACGTAGGTCGCCGAGATCTGATCGTGGCCCCGAGCCGTGAACCAGTCGATGACCGCGTCGTACTCCTTCTTGCTGCCGCACGAAACGACGGGCGGTTTACTCTGGTCGTAACCCTTGTCCTTGATGCGCGCTGCCTGCCAGATGGGAGCACCTCCCCACGGGTGCGGCGGCAGTAGCTTGTAGTGTTTGGGCGAGGAGCGCTCCGACGTGGAATTCCCCGATCCTGCAGTAGTAGTCGACTTCGTGCTGTCCCCGAGCAGGTACTGGAGAGTAGCGACGAGCTCCTTGTGGGTGGGCGGCTCGGCCTGCTGGTCGGCCTGCGCGATCAAGCGCTTCAGGCGGACAAGAAGGCGTGGATCACGTCGACGTCCGCGCTGCTGTCGTGGTGGTGGTGGTGGTGGTGGGCTGGTTGAAGGCGGTCGTGAACCCCGAACCTGGGCTGCCAGGTCCTTCACCGTCGCCTCCAAATCAGCAAGCTGGCGCTGCGTCGTCACATGTAGGTTTCCCCGCCTACGCTGTGCGAACAAGCCCTTCTTCGCGCCACCGAGAAATGGATCCTCCTGGCTAGGAGGTGTAGTCAAAGCTTCGATCAGATCCAGAGAGTTCACCTGTACGTTGATGTCGGCCACCTCCGTGACGCTTACGCTGTACTTCGCGGTGTCGGGGGGCATCCCGTTCTTCCCAACGAGGAGGGGTACAGCCTCAAGAACGACGGATTCGAAGACCTTCTCAAAGGGAAGCCACCACATACGATCGACGCCACCATAGGCTTCCCCCCCTGCCCGGCCGACGGGCGGGTTACTCTAAGGCCGAACTCAGCAGGATGAGGCCCAACCCGCTTACAACAGGGCAAGGAAAACACGAGCAACCAGGCTCACCGGATGACCCCGCTCAGCCGCATGGCCCACCAGGGCCTGACTTCGTCGACGATCTCGACGATCCCTGGGGACACCACCCGACGACTTCGAAGGCGAAGACTGGGACCCGCTCGGGCTCGAGCGTCCTAGAAATACAACGGTGGAAAGAATGCTACCCCACGAGGAAGTCACACGAGTCATGAGCATGATGCGGACGACGAAAGCACAGCATTGCGTCAGCCTAGACTCGCAGATGGGCTGGCTCACGAGGGACGTCCACCAGGACCTGGTCTCTACAACCAATGTACCCGACCAACAGGTCGCTTCCCCCTCCCACCAGGGAACGGGGAACAGCGGTCCTCCTACAACCAGAGGCTCAGTAGGCTTCGGTCGAACGGCGATGCACCCCATCGCTGACATCGGGGCGCTGCAGCAGCGAGCCAACCACCTTGCTCAAACCATCCACAACATCCAGGGACAAGATACTGCGCTGATAGAGAGGCTCCACCAAGCGCAGGCCGCCTGGAATGGCCTTCGATGGGCCTTCCGCCCTACCGTTTCGTTTGGGGTTTCACTCAAGGGAATCCTCCAGGCGGACCTTGGTGTTCACCGCTCAGCACACCAGCGCTAGCGTCTTCTCTCCGTAGCGTCTTCTCTCCGTCCCATCTCTCCTAGCACACCGCCTTGGCAACTCTTCCGTAGCTATCACGCTGGGCCACCGCGGGGGATGCCCCAAGGCGGCGCCACGGTTCACTGAGGCACCCAGGAGCGCACGCCGAAGCGAGCTAGCAGCGTGCGCCTGTTTTTTCGGGTGTGCAGACGGGCCCTCGGTTGGCCTGTTCACCATTTACCCGCTTTGCTTTCCAGTCGGGGTCTTTCCGACCGCGCCAGGAGGGAGGGTAGCACCCCACCCCTGCTCTTTCGGCAGCGCCTCCCGCCTTGTGAGGCAGGTCCGCGCAGCCCTTAGCCGCTGCGGGGCCTGGATCTGACCTGGTCCTAACTGGTACGCACCTCTCCACGCCTCTCCTCCTCCCCTCCACTCCCTCGTCCCCCCTATTCCCTGTCCCATGCACTACCACCGCACTCTCCACCAACTCCCCTCCCCTTCCCCGAACCTCCTCGCTCCTCCCCCGACCCACCTTTTTCCCCACTACCCCCTGCCCCACTCATCCACTTCCTTCTATTATCCTGCCCCACCCTGGTCCTGCTCCTCCGGTTCGATCCCCTGCCCCGTGTTCGTTCCTTCCTCTGCTCCCGCCCCCTGCCCCACTCCTCCCCTCCTCCGACCCCATACATTCCTCCCAATCCAACCAACAGCATACATCTTCCCATCATCACCCCACCTATCCTTCCTTCCCGTATCCCCCACATCCCCTCTCCGCATCCTTGTTCCCCTGATCCCCTCCACACTCCACTCATTCCCCTCTCTCCCCAGCCACACTTCGAGCGTGCGCCCCTCCACTCCCCGTCCCATGCTCCACCCTTGACCTCTCGCGGAATACCTGCACGTTCTGAACTTGCGTCTCAGCCATGTGCGAAGCAGAGGTGGAAAATTCTGCACACAGAGGCAGTGGTCCCCACACAACGGTGATCATCCAACAAGAAGGAAGCTGGAGACACACGTGGCTGCATTCACACGTGGAGCATCAGGAGGCCACGCGCTGGCTACACATGCGGAAGCCTGACCTGCACGGACATAGGAGGGCCCAGTATTGGGAAGGCATCTAGCCAAAGATGGATTCAGCTCTCGCCCGGGCCTGATGCCTCATGTGCATAAAACTTCCTGGCAGCCTCTGCGTAGTGGTGTACCCTGCTCCACTCTCCTCTGCTCCCCTTTGTGCACGCTCGGAGGACTCAGCACACAAAACTGTCTGTGACGCCCATCCAACCTTCGCGCGCAGAGCCATCTGCCCCGCCCCACCCTCGCCATCTCTCCTGCTCGGCATCTGCGCGCAAAGCTGCCTGCAACCCACCTACCGACCCAACCCGCGTACCCCCCCTCCCCGGCTGGCATTTGCGCGCAAATCCTTCTCCCAACCCCACCCACTCACCCACCGCCCCCCTCTCCGGCGAGAGCTCGTAGAAGAGCTTAGACTCCGCGAGCACGACCAACGCAGAACCAGTGCTCACAAGGAACTTTGGACACTTGAAGTCCTCCTGAACGGCAGGCTACTGCATCCCCCATGGAAGAGAGAGAGGATGGGGGGAGAAGCAGGCAGAGACTTGGACCTGCACCTTGAAGTGCAAGTCGCGGGAGAGACGATGGGTACACTTCTCAAATCGGATTGTCTACACGAAGCCCATCTCGCTCCCTGCCTCTCTGGGCCCGTATGTCGATGCTTCGCACGGCATCATTCATGCAGCCGTTGCAATTCACAAACCAAAGCCGAAGGCAAATCCGAAACCTGTTTGTCCGCTTACGTGCTTACTTGCGTGCTCGCTGGCGTGATTGACAGCCGCATGCATGATTGTTTGTTGGCTGGCGAACGTGCGTTCTTACTTGATGCCGTGCTTGGTGGCGTAAGTGTGTGTCGACTTGCTTGCCTTACTGCTTGATCACACGATTGCTGGTTCGCTTGAATGCTTGTTTGTGCGCCAGCGTTTGTGCGTGTGCCCTTGCTTGTGCCATGGGTGCGAAGTGGGGCTATTTGCTGCGTGCACCTACGCTCCGCGTTGCCGGCCTATTGCCTGCCGCTTTGTATGTCCTGTCGTCGTCCTGTATTCCATCTCCTTTCGTGATGTCGGCCTTCGCCAGAGTTGGTCTCACCACGGGTGTTCGCGAGGGACACTCCGCTTGTCTTACCAATGTTAGGTATTGGCCCTTGGTGGTTTTGCCCGCGCAGATCGCATTGCTGGCCTCACTGACTGTACGCTGGTCCCCGCTTTTCCAGCGCCCGTCGGGTGTGCGACACGGCTCTCCCTCAGCCTCCACCCCCTTCCCTCCCCTTCGTCCTGGGCCTAACCTTGGCGGTCTGCTCTTCACGGTAGCGTTCTGGCGTGACTTCACTTACCTGATCGGCGACGCCCTAGCGTGCCGTCTGATCTCCTTTCTCCTTCCTCGCCTCTCGCTTGCTGCTTGAACGCGCATTCTGGCTTGCTTCTCACGTCCATAGTTCCCCAGGCTACGTGTTAGCACCTGCCCCTTACTGGGACGATTTGTGCTAGGAAACTCCACTCATCGAGTCACTCACCAACAAGCCAGACAACGCTACGCCAATCAAGAGCTTGCAAGATACATGAATGATCAAACACAGTACGGAACAGCTACGAATACCTAAACGAACGCGCTTATGTTTATTTACAGGGCTTATGCCCACAACATTGTGCTGAGTATCCCAAATAACAAAAGACGTACCCACGTCGTCATCCATGACATCGCACATGCTTGCATGTACTCCACAACCTTCAAAGCAAGAATGCGTTCAGGGAGAGGAAGCTGCGGTCCCTCAACTGTATAGGGTAATGTCATGTGAGCGTGGGTAACGAAGGACAAATCTGATAAGATCACCTTGAGCCAGAATGGCTACGGTGCCTTTAAGCACCCGCGCCGACGCAGGTGCGACAATTCATCGCCAGCGCGTCCCGCTTGGAACCCGCGAGTGCCTCTCCACCAGGGCACCGGAGGAGGAGAAAGTACTTGCCTGCTTGCCTGCGTGACCGCTTGCATACGCAATTGATTGCCATGGTTTATTGTGTCTTTGCTTAAATGGCCGCTTGCTTCCGAGATTGCCTACGTACTTGGTTGCTCGTGGTTTATTGCGTATTCACGATGTTGCTTGCACGCCTGCTCATTACCAAGACAATGCTTGCACTGATGTCCCTTACTTTGCACTAGAACTGCCCTAAACGACTGGGTGCTGGCCATCGCGCTGGTGCGACGCTGGCCCCCATTGGAGCGCCACTAGCGCCGACCAGCCATGATCTGCAAAGCTGGAATGTCCAGCTACCGATTGGTGCGCCACTAGGCCCGACTATCACATTGCCCTCGGTCGTCGGTTGTCGCCGATCTAGTCTGCCCGAGCCAGCCCCGACTGGCCCCTGAGCCTCCACATGAGTGAACATGTGTGTACGTACATGCTGCCACCTGCCGCCCTTTGCTTGCACTTGCTTCCACGTGCTGCCATTGGCTCCCACCTGCTTCCACGTACCCCCACCCGACTGACTGCTGGTGTATGCGTTGAATCACTCTTGTTTGGGGCCCACGCGCCAGAAGCAGTTGACTTCCTTTCGGCGTACCTCCTTGCTTGCGTGCCTACATGCTTGCTCGTGTGATTGCTGGCTCGTCTCTCATTGTTGCACGGGCGTTTCGCCAATGTCTACGTAGAGCGCAAAGCCATGCTTAGCGGCTAAGCCGAAGGCCGCCTTGCAAGCAGGACTGCCAGTGAATGTGATTTGTTCTCTTCGGGGGAAAAAACCAACAGCTCTGCCAACGAGTCCCGTACGCGTGCCTGGGATGTGCCCATGCAGCGGCACCATTTAGTGGCGTACCCGTGACTCATCCCCTGTGGGAGGAAGCTGCCAACCTTGCGTATTAATGCGGTTCCCCTGGGCCGCAACTCTGCCCGCCGAAGGCCGGGTAGGGTGTCAGCACAGTCGCTCTGAGGCCCTCGTAGAAATCCCGCCACGTGTCGAAGCTCTTGGACAGCGGACCTGGCTGCCGAGCCCAAGCACGCTTTGAGCCAACATGGCCTCGGGAGAAAGGGAAGGAAGGCAAGAGGAGAAGACAAAAGGCAGGACTATCGATCCAGTGGGAGCCAGCGCGCGCGAAAGGCGGAGGAACCCACCATATCGGATCCGGCCTGCCAAGCAGGGACTGTGCCCTGCCAGGCAGCCCCGTCACCTGTCCTTTGTAACAGCGAAGGGCGCGCAAGATCCAGCTGACATCTCGGCCAATGCGCACCAGCGATGCACACTCTTTGGTCACCAAACTTCGCGCATCGCGCCCAGCCATGCGCGAACTATTTTAGCGCCCTCGCGCCCCCGCGTCTCCCCCTTGACGAAGGGCAGCCGCTCTGGCCCAGACCGCGGCACGCGAAGCGCGATTACCTTCGCGCCCCCGCGGGTGACCTACTGCAGCCAGGACGCAGTCTACCCTGGAAAGCCTTGTGGGAACCAAGCGGTGCCGAAGGTTGGGCCAAGAAACGGACCAGAAAGCCTCGCCCTCGTCGACAAGGAATGCGCCTCCCCCCCTCTCCTCCACCTCCTCCTCACTCCTCCTCCTCCCCCTCCTTTTGCCGATCCTGATCGGCTGGCTCGTCTGGGTCGTCATCACCGGACCTCTCGAAGGAGATAGACTTCACCGCGCCCGCGGATAGATCTTCGAACCAGGCCTCTCGAGTGCGATGGCAGCATCTAGCAGGGAAAGAAGAAGAAAGAGACGAGGAGCGAAGGAGAAAATGTGACTATGGAAAGATTGACCAAAGCCACGGGGAGGAATAGGCAAGGAATAACCAGATATGGCCCCATCGCACCTGAAAACTGTCCGACTGGTCATCCCTTCCATGGCTTCAACTGCGCCCAAAACTCTATTTCCGAGGGGTTCACAGTACGTGCGACCGTACATCGGGACAATAATCAAACGCGAAAGCGCAGGCGACATAACATGCCTGGCGTCCGAAGGCCCACCATTACAATCGACATGCATGTTGATCTAGCATCCGCTGCCGCGTTTGCACTGCTGCAGCAAAATAATTGTGTCAAGCCCCTCGTCGCACCTTACAATCATGTTATGGTGGGAACACTCACTCTCAGCACTCTGTAGTTTAACGTGATTGTCGCTTTGTAGGGGAACGCTTCCATGATATAGAAACTGAGGCGTGGCGAAATTGTAATGAATGGATTGCCACATGTGTTGGAGACGTGTCTGCACTTACCGCACACTTTGCGCTTGAAGCGCACTTCAAAGACAATGTGGGACCGTCGCAGTCAAGTCGGCCATCCGAATACAGCGATCGGGGGCGCCTCAGTCCGCAATGACACCGAGAGATATCTTGCTCGAAAGTCCGCAGATTGTCGACGTCCGATTCGCACGGACACGAAGAAACCACATGTACAACTGCTCACAGATAGCGACATGGTCATCAAAACGCAGTGGCATACAAACAACATCACTGCGCGCCGAGCAAACATGAAACTCTACACGTCGCAACATCAGGTACCCGGTGGAGGCGGCAACCTTTCGTGTCGCAGCATCAGTCTATTGCTGGCGTGCCGAGGTAATTATACCGACGTCGACGCTGGACGGTTGAACGCCCACCGCCTCCCGCTCCCCCCAACAGTCCCTAAGACGAAAGCAGGATGAAGATACATTCGGATGAAGAGACATGGGACATTTCTGAGAGCTGACGGATCTGGAGGACGTATCGGGCGCCGCGGTATCCCGCACGGAGATGAAGCGACGGCATCTACCGCTTGCGGCATGCGGAGGAGACACGCCAGCGTGACCGCGAGCGGGGTAGGCGCGCTCCTGCACCTCCTGCACCACATCCCCCTCCTCCTCCTCCTCCTCCTCCTCCTCCTCCTCCTCATCATCATCATCATCATCATCAGCATCATCATCATCATCATCATCCTTGTCCGCCTCCTCCTCCTCCTCCTCCTCGTCCTCCTCCTGCGCGTCCTCGTCATCATCCTATTGAACCTTATCCCCCTCTTCCTGAACCTCACTCTCCCCTTCCACCTTCTCCTCCTCCTCCTGCCTCCTCCTCCTCCTCACTCTACACTTGCTCCTTCCCATGCGAGTCGAACTCGTCTGATGCCTCCTCATCCTCTGTTTCTCTCCTCCTCCTCCTCCTCCTCCTCCTCCTCCTCCTCCTCTTGGCACTGCTCTCTTCATATTGTATCATCAGTCTCTTCTTCCTTCTCCTTTTCTCCTCACTCTCCTCTTCCTCCTCCTCACCCTCCTCCTCCTCCTCCTGCTCCTCGTCCTCATCCTCCTCCTCCTCACTCACTCACTCACTCAACCACTCGCTCACATACTCACTCATTCTCACTCACTTACTCATTCGCTTACGAACTCATTCGCTCGCTCTCTCGCTCGCTCACTCACTCACTCACTCACTCTCTCACTCACTCATTCACTCACTCACTCACTCACTCACTCACTCTCTGTCCTCATCCTCCCCCTGACTCACTCCCCTCCTCCTCATTCGCTCGCTCGCTCGCTCGCTCACTCACTCACTCACTCGCTCACGCACTCACTTACTCACTCTCCTCCTCCACCTCAGTCACCCTTCTCCTCCTCCTCCTCCTTCTACTACTCCTCTTCCTCCTCCTCTTCCTCCCCGGACTCCTCGTTCTCCTGAATGTCCTCCTCCTTCTCCTCTTCCTCCTCGCCATCAGCAGCATCCTCATCATCAGCATCATCATCAGCAGCAGCAGCATCAGCATCATCATCGTCGTAATCATCAACATCAGAATCATTATCGTCATCAACATTATCAGCATCATCAGCATCGTCATCATCATCATCATCATCATCATCATCATCAGCACCACCATCACCATCAGTATCATCATCATCATGAACATCATCAACATCAGAAGCAGCATCAGCATCACCATCAGTAGTATCATTATCATCATCACCATAATCAGCATTATCATCAGCAGCACCATCATCATCCTCCCCGTCATCATCATCTGTATCATCAGTATCATAATCAGCATCAGGATCATCGTCATCATCATCATCATCATCATCATCATTATCAGCATCATCAGCATCACCGTCATCATCATCATCACCAGCATCAGCATCATCATCATCAGCAACAGCATCATCAGCGTCATCAGCATCATCAGCATCATCAGCATCATCAGCAGAATCAGCATGTAAAGCATCATCATCGTCATCATCAACACCAACATCAGCATCAGTATCGTCATCAGCATCAGCAGCAGCATCAGCATCATCAGCATCATCAGCAGCAGCATCGTCATCATCATCAGCAGCATCATCATTACCGTCATCAGCAGCAGCATCAGCATCAGCATAAACACCAGCAGCATCATCAGCATCATCAGCATCGTCATCATCCTCTTCTCCTTATTCAGTACTTCCAGTTCCGCGAGCCTGCACGCGGAACTGGTAATCGTAGAAGCGCACCGCGCCGTCGGAAGCGCCGATCACCACTCGCGCCCTCTCGTGCACCTCGGGGGCATCCATCGCTGCAGGCTGTGGAAGGAGGGAGTGGGAAGCAGGACGGAGGAGTGACAGGAGGATGGAGAACAAGAGGGAGAAGGGACGGGAGGGAGGAGGGGCGGGAGAGACGGGAGGGAAGGGGGACGGGAAGGAGGAGGGATGGAAGGGAGGAGGGAGGAGAAGGAGGAGCACGAAAGGAGAATAAAGAGAGGACGAGGACCAGGTGTTGCTCCCGTCTCCACCCAAGCTGTCTCGACGCCGCCTTGCAATTAATTATTTTGGCTTGTATGTACAGCTTGGAACAGCACTCGGAACGTCAGAACGGAAGAAATGAGAAAGCTCAGTGGGGCTACGCTCAAGCGATGGGTTGCACTATGCTGGAAGATGGAACCACTACCCGTGGATGCTTCAGGCAAAGCTCGATTGCGAAAGAAAACGAAAGACCAGCCAACCGGTGCGCCCCCGTGATCGGTCACAGGACGTCGCGCGGCGCACGGGTGATCAGAGTCCCTGCAAGCCTAGATTCTCGGCAAATCTAAAATCTAGCAGTTGCCATGAGAAAGCTATCCATGGTAAGGCCGCCAGCGAGCCGCGGGTCGCGCTCGCAGGGACCCGACCGTGCGATTCCCCCCCCCCTTTTCTTTCCCTCACCCCTCCTCTTTTCCTGCTCATCCTCCTGCTTCTCTTTCTCCTCCTCCTGCTCCTTCTCGTCCTCCTCCTCCTCCTACTACTACTCCTGCTCCTAGTTCTACTCCTCCTATCCTTATTCCTTATTAGAATATACTCCTACTCCCCCCTCAGGCCGGCAGATAGGGGCCGCATCCGGGTGGTCCCATCCTAACCTGTAAAAAACAATACAAAATCAACATTTTTCTTATTTTTTCCTCTCGACATGGACGTCCTGTCGTCCACGGCGATAATCCATTGCAAAAAATACCACAAAGAGCACACGCGCGCGTTCATGTCAGAATCCTACCGAACACCGTGTGTTTGCAAGCATTTCAACATAAAAACATCAAAAACCCAATGCTTTTTCACAAAAATTGTACAAATTTCCCGCCCGGGCTCTCTTGCTGAAATCATAGGAAAACCATAGGAATCTTAAGAATTCGGTCAAATCCAGCGATTTCACGTCATCGCGCGGTGCACTCGCGATGCTCTGTCATGCACCCAGGCCGCGAATCCTGTGCAAAAAATACCACAAAGAGCACACTCGCGCGTTCATGTCAGAATCCTACCGAACACCGTGTGTTTGCAAGCATTTCAACATAAAAACATCAAAAACCCAATGCTTTTTCACAAAAATGCTTTGGGGTGTCCTGTCAGACCGTCGGGCTTCCTCCGGCCACCTCTGGCTTCCTGCGGTGTACCGGGCCATTCTCGACTCGTCTGGCAATGCGTGCGCGGCATTCAACACGCGCTCGCCAGTTCCCGTCGGCAACCGCCATCGCGGCCGCATCAGCTGTACCAAACCGGCTGGCCGGTGTGACTTCGGCCCCCAGTTGTGCCAGCTTTGCTTCTTATGTTGTGGGAGGGCGGGTGGGACTGGGCATGCCATGCTTGACTCGCTCGAGCTGGCTAGCTTGACTCATACTCCTACTCCTAGTCCTCCTCCCTTCCTTACAAGTGACGCCTCCCTATCGCATCCCGAGACGTGTTGGTAGGGCGGGCCGGGCATTTCGCCTGAAACCTCCTCACCACTTATGATCCTGAAGCTTGAAATTTGCAACAGAGTCAGGGGTGGAGTGCGGATGCTTTTCAACATGTAGCTCTCGCCTTAGCACCACGCATTTTGTTCTCGCCTGAGCGCTGCGCACATTCGTCATCAAAGTGTGCAAAAAGGATTCGTATGGTTGAAGCCCCAGGAATGGCATTCTGGCCAGATCTAAGATTGTCAAGACGCAACGGTCACGTTGATCCGCTGTGTTGAAATCCCAGGAATGTTGCTCTGGCGAGGTCTAGGATTTTCAAGACGCAACGGTCATCTTGATTCGCTGCGTTGAAGTCCCAGGACGGGTGCTTTGGCACGTTTGGGCACTATCAGGCGTTTGTCTTCCAATGGGGCACTTCTCACGATGAATAGAAATCCTGGTAGGGGCCTGTGCAGAGGGACCTTCGAGGAACTTGGAGGGAGGACCTACTGCAGCATCATTGATGTGCCTTGGGTTTACACTGGTCCTCCACCTCCTCCTCCTCCTCCTCCTCCTCCTCCTCCTCCTCCTCCTCCTCCTTCTCCTCCATATGGTCCGTGGCCATTTTGGCTCCAACCTGCCCTGGGCGCCAGGCGGGCGAACGTTTGTGCCCCGCTTCTCTCCCTCAGCTCAGCCGCGGCGGCGGCCGCGGCGGCCGCAGCCGCGGCCGAGGGCGCGGCCGAGGGCGCGGCCGAGGGCGCGGCCGAGGGCGCGGCCGAGGGCGCGCGGAGGCTCGGCAGGAGGGCGAGGCTCGGAAGCGGCAGTTGGCCTTCGGGCGCTGGACACCACACGCTGCGCGGCCACGGCCGAGGCGCACAGGCCGAAGGCCGCGCGCAGCAGCCGGCGCCCTCGTGCACGACGTCTGCACCCAAAGCCACACAACACGGCTGGGCATCCACACGCTCGGCGGAGGCAGAGAGGTCGGCCTGCGCGCCCTCCGAACGACCGGCGCTGCGCCGGATCCACCGCCTGAGAGCCCGCATGGCGCTGGGCGAGGTCGACGTGGCCGTCGACGGCGGCAGCTCTGAGGAACAGACGGCGGCGAAATACTGGTCAGTGATCCTCCAGCGGCCCAGCCAACTGCAAGAGGGCCTCACGGGCCCCATACGCAGGGTCGATGGCGCAGGCGTCTCTTACGAGCAAGCACTGCACGGACAGTGCCACAAGCAAACCAAGCAACCCTGGCGCTCACGGACGGCGCGAAGACGCCTCACGCGATCCACTGGGATCTCCCGAGCCAATCTGTTGGCGGGCGCCTTATCAACCGAGCCATCGAACGCACGATTGAAACAACAAACCAATCACATCCCCGTACGGTACGGGCTCGGACACCGGACGCTGTTCGAAATCGGTCAGAGACACACCCCTTGCCACTCTCTGCAAAGCCAAATTGTAATCATTAAATCCGCTCTCTCTCTCTCTCTCTCTCTCTTTTCCCTCCCTCATCATCTGTCATGGGCCGCCTCTGACTTGAGTTGCAAGGAAAGGCCGAGAATGGCGCTACGTATGCATATTTCAGTCGGTCCCTCCCGTCTTCTGTTTGACAAAAATGCTGTCTTTGGCACAATATTACGCCGGTTTGCTTATCAGATATCTGCCCTTTACTGATCTCCTCCACCAGGCTTTCAGCGGGTGTGTACCAGGCCCTGACGCTGTTCTTTAGCTTCGCCGTTTGCGAAGTCTGCGTTGGCCCGAGCAAAGCACCAGCTCGTTTCAACTGTTAGAAAGAACCCCCCCTCCGTCCCCCACCCCTCAACCAAGCGCTCCGCCCCAAGCGCGATGACAGATTGGCGCGTCCTTGCAACTGAAGACAATAAAACGTGAGAGCTGCAAGCACGCCAACAGGTTAGGCCACAGTCCGATCGAACCTCCCTACTCCCACCGTTACGCCGGCGAAGCAACCATAAAAGATCATGATCGAAACAGGTTGGAAATTGTAGCCCATCCCATGGCTAGAGAGACAGGATGCCTGAGAAACGCAAGTCTAGGCTCAGCCATGGCCTGTCGCTGGCCAGGAATCCGAGCCTAAGCAAACGGTTTCGAAGGCGTCCCGGTAGGACCACACATCCCTCATAAGCGACGGAGCGGCCTAGGCGGAGGAAGAGTTGAGCAAACTGGCACCCGACCGTACGCGACAAAGCAGCTCCACACCAAGCCTTCCAGACGCAGCCTGGCAGGCTGGCGCGAGGTTCAGGTGCAGATTTCCATGGACAAAACCCTGGGACAAAAAGCATGTTCAGCACTGCCCCTTTCAACAAGGTTGGAGGGAGAAACAACAACCTTGCACACGCAGCAAGGTCCCAAACCCTCTAGAGCACAGCCTGGAATTACTAACCACACGCACTGATCAACTGCTACCGAAGCAAGCCTGATACCAAAGGTGGGCCCATCGCTCCCGCGGGAAAGGGACCACACTTGCCGCGCACTGCTGCCCAAGATGCTCGTACGTCATACGCCATGTAGGTAAACCTCTCCCGAGACGACAATCCCGACGAAGGGCGCAACAAGTATGGTAAACTCCTCGTGGCCCCCACGAAGTGAGGAGCCCGACTGCCAGGGCGCCGCTCTCTAGCCGACGCCAAGGCTCGGCCGCGAGCCCACGTAAACACTCCAGGCAGGACTGGGAGAAGGGACACAAGATCACTGCGCACTCTGGGCTCTCTTCGGCCACGGACGTGCTGTATCTTCCAGCTGACGGGACGGGTGGGGGGGATCTGGGGAGGAGAAAGCAACCTCAGCCTCCTCCCCTTCTCATCTTCCTGCTCCTCCTCCTCCTCCTTTTCCTCCTCCTCCTCCTCCTCCCTGCCTCCCTCCCTCCCTGCCTCCCTCCCTTCCTCATTTCTCCTCCTTCCCTGCATCCTCCTCCTCCCTCCCTGCCTCCTCATCCACCTTCTCCTTGTCCTCCTCCTCCTCCTCCTCCTCCTCCTCCTCCTCCTCCTCCTCCTCCTCCTCCTCCTCCTCCTCCTAGTCATCATCATCATCATCATCATCATCATCATCATCATCATCATCATCATCATCATCAGCAGCAGCAGCAGCAGCATCATCATCATCAGCATCATCATCATCATTAGCATCATTAGCATCATTAGCATCATCATCATCATCATCATCATCATCAGCATCATCATCATCAGCATCATCATCATCATCATCATCATCATTAGCATCATTAGCATCATTAGCATCATCATCATCATCATCATCATCAAAGAGGAGATTCTGGCTTTGCCTGTATGTTACCGACAATGTGGCCTCTGTCCAGACAGACCAGTATATGACAATTTCGCTTCTGAGCTGCTGCCCGATGAACCAGACCTTCCACCTCCCCCTCATCATGCAGATGGGAATTATGAGCCAGGTCAAGACGAGCACAGCACCACGCGCGAGAAAGAAGGATATTTGGTGGTGGCTGGGGATGGAGCCTGCCCTGGGCAGGCGTCAGACCTACGCCTACGAAGATCTGGATACGGTCTCTATTATGGAGAGAATCACCCCTGCAATGTCTCTGTCCCGCTGAGGAGCGTCTCACAAGGAGCGCAGAGAGCTGAAGTCAGTGCCCTTCGACACTTTGTATCCTGGGCATGGTCCAAGCAGCTCTACCTCACCGACAGTGCGTACTGCGTCAGAAATTTTACTGCCATCCTGAATGGAGTGACTATCAAGCCTCGCCAGCATCGAGACCTGTGGACAGCTATTGCTACAGGAGTCGCAGCGAAAGGTTCAGAATATTTCCGCATTGAAAAGATCAAAGCGCACCGCAAAAAAGATGAAGTACCCCCAGAGGACCTACCTGACTGGGAGGCTAACAAACGAGCAGATGACAGTGCTGTCCGAGCTGCGCGCCAATATAGTGTGCCAGAGGACATCAGACACCAACATCTGCGAGATCAGCATCTATGTTTTACCCTGCAGCACACAGCCACGATCGTCTTGGCTGCACGTGCAAAGCAACTTCAGGCTATGGGAAGAGATACTCATCACGCTCGATGCGCTCAAGCCCAAGCTATGCAAAATGCCGAACTGGAAGGTGCAGACCCCCAATGGCCTGATGAGGACGCTGAAGATCCCTGGGCTCATCTCGGCATGGACGATGACGGGACGAATGAAGTGAGTGAACAGCGAGCTGCAACACCCTTGGTCCACAGGAACGAGGCTTCGCCAGCGTCTGTCACACCGACCGTGACACAGGATGGTCAACCTGCCAGCCCGACAGCTGCAGCTACGACGATTGCGGACACCCCCAGCAGTTGTCAAAGTCAAGACCGACCTGTACAAGCACCAATGCGCCGCATGAGGAGCAAAACACCGCAACCTGCTACGACATCGTGTACCACAGATGCATCGCCAACGACAACCCCAGCCTCATCATCACGACCAGCTGGGGACCATGCAACAGCAGCGTCGTCAAGCTCCACGTGGGTACGACCAGCTTTGGATCAGATGACTACTAATCCCCTGACTTGGAGTCCGAAGATGGCCTTTCCTGGTTATTCATGGGACCCCGTCGAGGTGAACCTGCCAGAGTGGGAGTTTGAACCGCAGATTCCAGAAATTTTGACTGGCAAGGATTGGTATTACCAACAAGCTTTATTTCCTGCGATTGTTTGGTACTTCTCGCAACTTCGATGGGCTGCTGATGACACACCAATGGCACCCATGTCCGTTTCCTGGGCGGAGTTGGCGATCGACTTCACTATCTGTACTGGCTTACCATTGGTTACGCCGTCGGAAGATCCACAGACTGCTACTCTCGAGCGCATGGCGAGATACTTCTCGACAGCTGCTACTCGGATGAGCTACTTGTGCAAGTGCAAATTGGGACCACGTGAATGTTATAAAGAAATTCGTGCCTTATCACCACTGGGAATACGTGCAGTACCTGGCTTCAAGTGCAGGGCAGTGTTTGTGAATCACCAACACACGATGCGAGTATTATACGCTGTGGCTTTGGCGACGACGGAGAAGACAAAAGGAATTCGAGTGCAGCCAGCTTGGGGTTCGGTACCCAAGCCCATATGGCAACCTCCGAAGCTAGCTGAGAACCTGTCAACCACGGTGAGGCCAAGCGACATTGTTGCCAAGGCCGCTGCTGCAGCTGAACACGTCTCGGAGGTGCGACGGGCTCATCATGTCACTACTGTCAAGGTCATGCGAGCTACCATCACGTGGACGGACGAGGAGAAGAAAGATTGGGAGGGCCTCACAGGCCGAGATCTTCAGAACGAGCAGAAGAGAATTCTGCATAATCGCGAAGCACGCCAACAGGGATACCATGTACTTGCCCCGTTGAAGGGGCCAAACAAAGATCAACCTGCCAAGCTGGTGTGCATCAATTGCAAGCTCGAGTCGAAGGTGAGCCAGCTTGGCTCATGGTCGCGCCTTCTGTGCCAACCTGGAGCTCCACGAGGCCCACGTCTTGGTAAGAAGCGTACCGCTGCCGACTACGTTATCATGGTGGACGAGCATAACAAGAGGACAAAAATTCCTGGAAACCGTTGTCACGTTCTCACACATTATCGAGCGGACCAGAAGGACAAGGAATTAGTATGTACTCTCTGTGGCTCCACGGCACCGACCAGAAGATTTCAGCAATTTACTGCCGCTCTTTGTGGAGGGCGTTAGGACGCAAAATCCAGGCTAACCACCTGGTTTAGTCGCACAGCCACTGTCCACCCCTCGGGTGCACCTGCCTGTTGGACTATGTCGCTCGCAGGACAACAGCGCGTAGGGGTGGCAGTGTGACTGGTTTTGCTGGACGCATCTGGGCTGCTGGATGCATGTATGAAATATAGCCGAGGGGGAGGACCCGTAGGGCCATTACTGGTGGCCACGATGCCTTAATCGCGACGGAGCGTGCTCCCCCTCGGCTCGAGCTGTGATTATTTTATTTGTCATATTGGTGGGCTCTGGCAGTGTATGCGAGGGCAGCTTTATTTTGAGATATCAGTTGGAGAGGCAGCTGAAGCAGTTTCTTCTTTTGGAATGGAGTATGAGTGACTACTTGGTTGGTTTCTTATTGATATGATATGCGAGGAGCGAGATATCGGTGCACGTTGCACGCACTGGTACTTCCTCATACATATGCTATTGTTGAACCTTTTGACGCTGAGAAGCGCTGGAGGCAACAGGATTCGTCAGTTACAATGCAGCAGGGAAAGCATCTTGCTTCCTTCAGCCAGTACTTCTGTGGATGGGAGTCTGACTGCAACTATTACATACTCTCTTGATGAATTGTTTCACTGCGGACGCGTGCCAAGGTGAAGGATGAGAACAAGGAGGAGGACACCGCCCACGTCGCCGACGACGTCGTCGTCGGCGCTGTCGTGGTTGTCATCGTCGTCGGCCCCCGGTCTTCCGTTCCCCTGTCCACTCCTCCCCTCCCTTCCCTCCCAATATCTCTGCCCTCCGGCCCTCCGCTCCCTCTCCGCTGGGTTTCCTCCCCCCCTCCGCCCCCCTGTCTCCTCCTCCTCCTCCTCCTCCTCCTCCTCCTCCTCCTCCTCCTCCTCCTCCTCTTCCTTCTTGTTTCATCCTTGCTCACACCCCCCCACCATTCCTCCAGGTTCCCTCCTTGCCGCCCTCGTTATCTTCCCCCCTCTTATACAGCCCCACCCTCGCCGGGAGTGGGGGGCAACTTTCTCGTCGGACGGAGTACGAGTCTGAGAGTAATGCCCTACTCCTCCCCTTCTCCTTCTCCTCCGCATCATCCGACCTTCCACATCACACTTCTCCCTTCGTCGAAACTGACACCTTAGAAGGTGGGCTAGCTCCCACCTGCAGCACGTTGAGAGAGACGTCCGGGCAGAGCTTGATTATCTTCACAGCCCGCCTCCCCTTCTCACGCCGCCACGTACGACGTCCATCTCATAATCGATCGTGATCCCGCTTCCATCGCAACTCGTACCATTTATTCAATTCAGTATCCTCACACTCCTGCGTCTCGTCTGCGTGCGTCCTCCTTCTCCTCCTCCTACTCCTTCTCCTCCTCTTCATCATAATCATCATAAGCAGCATCAGCATTATCAGCATCAGCAGCATCATCAGCATCATCGTCATCAGCAGCATCGTCATCATCAGCATCATCATTATAATCAGCATCATCATCATCATCAGCATCATCATCCTCTTCCTTCACTTCCTCCGCCTCCCCATCCCCAAGCCTTGGGACTGAAAGCGGCAGGTTAAATGTTTCCCCCGACAGTGCGTGCACTGAGGCGTTCACACTTAGGCCGTGAAAATCTGAAGCTATGGCTTCCCATGGATTCCTATACTGCCCCCTCCCACTGGCCCTGGGTACCGCACTTTGCACGATGGCTTTGTGGATTTTGATGGCGTCCTACGGCTTCCCCTCCCACTTGCCCTATGTGCCGCGCTTTCTGCAGCGGCCGATTGGTTCCCCCACCCCCTCGCTGGCCCTGTGTAACCGCAGTTCCAGGTGGCTGCTCGGCTTCCTCAGACTGTCGCACTTTCAGGTGGCCGCTTGGATTCCAGTGGCTTCCCATTCCTTACGTACATACATTCATACATACGTACATACATACATACATGCATACATGCATACATACATACATACATACATACATACATACATGCATGCATGCATGCATGCATGCATGCATACAGACATACAGACATACATACATACGCACATACACACATACACACATACACACATACACACATACACACATACACATATATATATATATATATATATATATATGTATACGTACGTTCATACATACATATATACATACAAACAGACATGCATACTTACTACATACATCCATCCATCCATCCATCCATCCATACATACATGCATGCATGCATGCATGCATGCATGCATGCATGCATGCATGCATACATACATACACACATGCATACATACATACATACATCCTGGAACCATCGCGCGCGCGCTTCGCGCGCGCTCAGGTTCTAGCCCAGGCCGGGGGGGCGCTGGACGATCTTGGACAAAGCTAGCAAGCACAGGCGCGTAACGGCATCTGAGGAGCTTTTGGGGTGTTCCGCATCCTTCGTCAACTGGCTGTTGGAGGCACCTCTTGGGTGGTTCTTGGGATGTCGTCTGAGGGTCCCTTGGGGGCATCGGCTCTGCAATCTGAAGCCGTCATTGGCCGTCTTGGCTGCGTGGAGGCCCGACTTGAGGCCACCTGCGGCCAGATTGAGGCAATCCGGAAGCCTCCCGGGGGCCTCCTGGAAGCAGTTTTGACGCATCGAGGGCACTCTTGGGCTATTTTAAAACCTCTTGGACGTCTCCTAGGGGCCTTTGGGGCCTTCGGGAAGCTTTTGGGGTTCTCGTCGCACCACTTGGGGGCCTCTTGCGGCCTCCTGTGGGCCTTTTGGGGGGAACGCTCTGCTGTTGGGTCGCGTTCCCCTTCTTGGGCCTCTCTTGGGGCCCTCTCGGGCCGTCTTGGGCGCCTCAAGCACCGTCTTGGGGCCCTCGCGGGCCGTCTTGGGGCCCTCTTGGAGGCCTCTTCCTCTATATGGGAGCGGTATTGGAAGCCTCTTGGGCCGTCTTGGATCATCTGGATGCCAAAAGGCAGAACACGTTTAAACCCGTCAAACCCAATCGTAAAACAATGAGTTGTGCCTCTTGGGGCCACCTTGGGAGATCGCTTGGAACCTCGTCGGCCCTCTTGAGAGCTTCTTGGGGCCTCTTGGATCCGATTGGGGGCCTCTTGGGACTTCCCGAGAACCTCTCGGGGTAGAAAGCTCGGATTCCCGGTTCGTGTTTCCCTTCTTGGGCCTCACTTGGGGCCGTCTTGGGGCCCTCGTGGGCCGCCCAGGCCCTCTTGGAAGCCTCTTCGGCTATCTTGAGGCTGTCTTGAAGGCCTCTTCCTCCTCCTCGTCCTCCCCTCCCTCCTCCTCCTCCTCCTCCTCCTCCTCCTCCTCCTCCTCCTCCTCCTCCTCCTCCTCCTGCTCCTCCTCCTCCTCCTCCTCCCTCCTCCTCCTCCTCCTCCTCCTCCTCCTCCTCCTCCTCCTCCTCCTCCTCCTCCTCCTCCTCCTCCTCCTCCTCCTCCTCCTCCTCTCACTCCAGCTCTCTCTACTCCTGATCTTCCTCCTCCCCCTGCAGCGTATTCCGGAAGGCTCCCGCCAGAACATGCTGTGCACAAGTGCTGTCACTGCTCCCGCCACCGTGCCCTGGGTGGTGGGTCAGAGGCCTCATGGGTGTTGGTTTGGATCTCGTGGTTGGCCTGTCGGGGACGTCGTGAAGGCAGTTTCGCAGCTTCTCGGTAGCCGTTTTGGGACCGTTGTGGGGCCTCCTCGGGGCTGTGTTGAAGCCTCTGTAAGCCTCATTTGGGCCTCCTGGGTGCCTCTTGGGGGACTCCTTGGGCCTCTTGGGGGCTCCTTGGGGCCTCCTGGGGCACTCTTCAAGCGGGAGGGTCGAATTTTGGAGTCGTGGCCCCCCTCTTGGGCGCCATCTTTTTCCCAACCATCCTGTGGTGTTGGGTCCTCGTTTTGAAGAGACAGCGCCCCGCGTTCCTTCCTCCTCCCGCTGCCCTCTCCTTCCTCCTCGCATCATCGTCGTCATCAGCATCATCATCATCATCATCATCAACCACCACCACCACCACCACCATCATCATCACCCACACGAGGATCGTGGCCCTATAGGAGCTCCACCGGAGGCGCCAATAGCAAAGTGCGCATGGCGGCCTCGGGCCATTTCGGCACACCCCTCACGAGGATCGGGGCCCCAAAGGAGCTCCACCGAAAGCGCCAGTAGCAAAGTGCGCATGGCGGCCTCGGGCCATTCCGGCACACCCCTCACGAGGATCGTGGCCCCACAGGAGCCCCACCGAAGGTGCCAGTAGCAAAGTGCGCCAGGCGGCCTCGGGCCATGTCGGCACACCCCTCACGAGGATCGCGGCCCCATAGGAGCTCCACCAAAGGCGCCAGTAGCAAAGTGCGCATGGCGGCCCCGGCCTCTGGCCATTTACACTTTTTACAAAGATCGTGGCCCCATAGGAGCTCCATCGAAGGCGCCAGTAGCAAAGTGCGCATGGCGGGCCATTTCGGCACACCCCTCACAAGGATCGTGGCCCCATAGGAGCTCCACCGAAGGGGCCAATAACAAAGTGCGCATGGTGGCCTCGGGCCATTTCGGCACGCCACTCACGAGTATCGTGGCCCCATAGGAGCTCCACCAAAGGCGCCAATAGCAAAGTGCGCATGGCGGCCTCGGGACATTTCGGCACACCCCTCACGAGCATCGTGGCCCCATAGGAGCTCCACCGAAGGCGCCAGTAGCAAAGTGCGCATGGCGGCCTCGGGCCATTTCGGCACACCCCTCACGAGGATCGTGGCCCCAGAGGAGCCCCACCAAAGGCGCCAGTGGCAGGGTTTGCATGGCGGCCTCGGGCCATTTCGGCACACCCTCACGAGGATCGTGGCCCCACAGGAGCTGGAGCTCCACCGAAGGCACCCAGTGGCAGGGTTCCCACGGCGGCCCCGGGCCATTTCGGCACACCCCTCACGAGCATCGTGGCCCCATAGGAGCTCCACCGAAGGCGCCAATAGCAAAGTGCGCATGGCGGCCTCGGGCCATTTCGGCACACCCCTCACGAGGATCGTGGCCCCAGAGGAGCCCCACCAAAGGCGCCAGTGGCAGGGTTCCCATGGCGGCCTCGGGCCATTTCGGCACACCCTCACGAGGATCGTGGCCCCACAGGAGCTGGAGCTCCACCGAAGGCACCCAGTGGCAGGCTTCCCACGGCGGCCCCGGGCCATTTCGGCACACCCCTCACGAGGATCGTGGCCCCATAGGAGCTCCACCGAAGGCGCCAATAGCAAAGTGCGCATGGCGGCCTCGGGCCATTTCGGCACACCCCTCACGAGGATCGTGGCCCCAGAGGAGCCCCACCAAAGGCGCCAGTGGCAGGGTTTGCATGGCGGCCTCGGGCCATTTCGGCACACCCTCACGAGGATCGTGGCCCCACAGGAGCTGGAGCTCCACCGAAGGCCTCCAGTGGCAGGGTTCCCATGGCGGCCCCGGGCCATTTCGGCACACCCTCACGAGCATCGTGGCCCCATAGGAGCTCCACCGAAGGCGCCAATAGCAAAGTGCGCATGGCGGCCTCGGGCCATTCCGGCACACCCCTCACGAGGATCGTGGCCCCATAGGAGCTCCATCGAAGGCGCCAGTAGCAAAGTGCGCATGGCGGCCTCGGGACAGTTCGGCACACCCCTCACGAGGATCGGGGCCCCACGGGAGCTCCACCGAAGGGGCCAATAGCAAAGTGCGCATGGCGGCCTCGGGCCATCTCGGCACACCGTCGTTGCCCCCGTGGAGCTCCACCGAAGGCGCCAGTAGCAAAGTGCGCACGGCGGTCTCGGGCCATGTCGGCACACCCCTCACGAGGATCGTGGCCCCATAGGAAGCTCCACCGAAGATCCCAGTGGCAGGGTTCCCATGGCGGCCTCGGGCCATTTCGGCACACCCCTCACGAGGATCGTGGCCCCATTGGGAGCTCCACCGAAGGCGCCAGCGGCAGGTTGCGCACGGCGGCCTCGGACCATTTCGGCACACCCCTCGCGAGACTCGTGGCCACATAGGGAGCTCCACCGAAGGCGCCAGTAGCAAAGTGCGCACGGCGGCCTCGGGCCATTTCGGCACACCACTCACGAGGATCGTGGCCCCATAGGGAGCTCCACCGAAGGCCCCCAATGGCAGGGTTCCCATGGCGGCCCCGGGCCATTTCGGCACACCCCTCACGAGGATCGTGGCCCCATAGTTGTGCTGCTTCAACAACCGGGCCTGGGCGTCGCACTCCGCCTTCTCGACGCGCACCGAGACCTCCTCCCTCA